CTCCATCTGATCTGGATACGGCCCGGATCCGGCTGACTACATCGTGTGTTGTGGTCGTGTCTAGGCGCAGGTCCTCCATCTGATCTGGATACGGCCCGGATCCGGCTGACTACATCATGCGTTGTGGTCGTGTCTAGGCGCAGGTCCTCCATCTGATCTGGATACGGCCCGGATCCGGCTGACTACATCGTGTGTTGTGGTCGTGTCTAGGCGCAGGTCCTCCATCTGATCTGGATACGGCCCGGATCCGGCTGACTACATCATGCGTTGTGGTCGTGTCTAGGCGCAGGTCCTCCATCTGATCTGGATTCGGCCCGGATCCGGCTGACTACATCGTGTGTTGTGGTCGTGTCTAGGCGCAGGTCCTCCATCTGATCTGGATACGGCCCGGATCCGGCTGACTACATCATGCGTTGTGGTCGTGTCTAGGCGCAGGTCCTCCATCTGATCTGGATGCGGCCCGGATCCGGCTGACTACATCATGCGTTGTGGTCGTGTCTAGGCGCAGGTCCTCCATCTGATCTGGATACGGCCCGGATCCGGCTGACTACATCATGCGTATATGAACCGTTAATGCAGCGTAATGTTTTTATAATTTCACTTTCTGTAGTGAATTATTGACTGGGGTTTGAGTCTTTCCACCAGTATAACTCAAGAGCAAAGTTTGCTTGTGTGATATCCACTGGCTCGCCTTCATGATTTAAAATGTAAATATTTCCAATATTGTGCGAAAATGTTCTTGATCAACAATTGCTCGCAAAATGATGGACAGAGATTTAGATTTTACACGTGTCATTCCCAGTGATAAAAGCTAGTAAATAATTAAAGAGTACGCTACCCCCCCCTCCCCCCCACCCCCACCCCCCGGCACTGCCTTTAACCCTTTAACATGTTGAATATAACAGATGAATGTTCGTTGTGCAAAATATGTTTAGACAGGGTTATTAATGTTTTACTGTGTGTGTGTGTGTGTGCAGGTGTGTGTGAAGGCCAGAAGGAGCAGCTGGTTCCACTGGTTCAGGGTCCGTCTGACACCACAGATCTTCACACGAGACACTGGCTGATCGGGAGCCGTAAACCTGCGTCTCTCCTGTCTCCTGATCTCCTGCAGATCTCACTACAGCTCCCTCAGCAGGAGCACTCACCCAACCCCGGTGAGACGCGCACACACACACGCACACACACACACACGCACACACACACGCACACACGCACACACACACACACACACACACACATACACACACACACACACACACATCTCTCCTGTCTCCTGATCTCCTCCAGATCTCACTACAGCTCCCACTCACCCAACCCCGGTGAGACACACACACACACACACACACAGATGAGACCTGATCATGATGGGGTGAGTGAGACGCCTATATACACCTGTGTCTGTGTGTGTGTGTGAGAGTAAGAGTGTGTGTGTGAGAGAGAGAGTGTGTGTGTGTGTCAGTGTGTTGAACGTCTTTACACTAAATCCTCCATAAGATGTGAAGGTCGAGGAGACCGAAGGCTTGAGAGGATCCAGACTCGTCGTGCTTTGGCAGTAAATCAGCATTATTGAGCTGAAGTGTGTGTGTGTGTGTGTGTAACACGGAGACGCTCAGTCCTCCAGAGCTTTATTAACGCAGGGATTCTTTATATCCACCCACAGTGACTGTAAGGAGATGTAGAGCTGCGCTCAGAACATTTAACCTTCATTCTGATAATTCAGTCAGTGAATGTGTGTGTGTGTGTGTGACAGATGAACCGATCATCTCTTCCTCTTTACTACTAGTTACAGCAGCAAATAAACATCAATGAACATCACAAGAAATTATAAATAACAATTTTTTCTTAAATATATACATGCATGTATGTGTATTATATATACAAAGTAATTCTACACAGTACACACAGAATTATACACAGACACTGTCGTCTTTTTCCACCTTTGTTGCCATTGGCTTGGCTTGCTTAGTTGGGGACATTTCATTTAATATCCAGCAATATTATTGATCTCCTGCACTGACAGCATTATATGAGAACTGAACTGAGCTGGACGATGACATCACGGTTTTCTCCAGAGCGGCTATATATACAGTATATATGAACTCATTTTAATAATTTTTTTTACAACAGAAATGAAGCATCACTGAACTCACTTAAGCTGCACTGTGACGCTATTCTCTCCTGGACACAAACTCTTATGTTCCTGTTATCTCTGTAAGGCGGCTCTGTGTAAACACAAGCGCTTATTTTGGACTTAGTAGTCGTTGCACAGCACTTCATCCACACGAGGTCCTTCTGTCCACAAGCACTCTCCATCGCGTCGTCCAAACCGCTGTGACTTTCTTTCTTCAGTCAAACACAAAAGAAGATATTCTGAGAAATGGCGTAGTGTTTTTGTCCATATCATGAAGGTCAGTGTTGTTTGGTTCTCAACGTTCTTCAGAATATCTTCTTGTGTTCCACTGAAGACACAGAGTTCAGATCAACATGAGAGAGTAACTGATGACAGAATGGTACGCATCCCCGCTGAGTGTGTGGAGGAACTCGATGTCTGTGTTTGTGTACGGATCCTCACGTGTGTGTAGTGTCAGAACCGCTCCCTGTACACTATATCGGTGTCGGACTGTTCGTAGTGGTGAACGACATCATGCCCTACATTCGTTCACTACTTTTACCCACAATCCTCTCTGAATTCGAGTGTACATTCGATGTACACTTGCTGAAGCACTATTTCCCACAATGCAATGCGAGAGGACTGAGCGCGAGTTTAAACAGGAGATTACTGACAGCTTTCTTATTTCTGCTCTAACATTTACTTCACACTAGTTTTAACCTTTTTTTATTAATCATTACTCGAATAAAACATTAAAATGTAGAGACAATATTATATAGATGAATTTTAAATTTAAATGAAATGATATTAATAAGGTAAATTATATTATTTTTATTCTGAAAATATATTATTTAGGCATATGATGATGTGGTGGATGATTTAAAAATGTTCGTTAATCTTCTGTGGGAAGCGCATTCATTCACATGTAATAATCATAACGCTAACGACCTCGTCATCCGAGTCGACTGCAGTCGATGAAACTACAAAGCTGGCACGGAGGAATATATCACTACAAAATAAAGTCATTATGATGGTTATTGTTGTTAATATTATTTTCTAAAGTAAGTAACGTGTAAGATAAAGGAGTTTTATCAGTACGTGTGGCGAAGCCGTGTCTTCATGACGTTCACTGCCTACAGATGTAGTGCACTCGAACGCCACACACTATAGGGATCTACAGATGTAGTGCACTCGAACGCCACACACTATAGGGATCTACAGATGCAGTGCACTCGAACGCCACACACTATAGGGATCTACAGATGTAGTGCACTCGAACGCCACACACTAGAGGGATCTACAGATGTAGTGCACTCGAACGCCACACACTAGAGGGATCTACAGATGTAGTGCACTCGAACGCCACACACTATAGGGATCTACAGATATAGTGCACTCGAACGCCACACACTAGAGGGATCTACAGATGTAGTGCACTCGAACGCCACACACTATAGGGATCTACAGATGTAGTGCACTCGAACGCCACACACTATAGGGATCTACAGATGTAGTGCACCCGAACGCCACACACTATAGGGATCTACAGATGCAGTGCACTCGAACGCCACACACTATAGGGATCTACAGATGCAGTGCACTCGAACGCCACACACTATAGGGATCTACAGATGTAGTGCACCCGAACGCCACACACTATAGGGATCTACAGATGCAGTGCACTCGAACGCCACACACTATAGGGATCTACAGATGCAGTGCACCCGAACGCCACACACTATAGGGATCTACAGATGCAGTGCACTCGAACGCCACACACTATAGGGATCTACAGATGTAGTGCACTCGAACGCCACACACTAGAGGGATCTACAGATGTAGTGCACTCGAACGCCACACACTAGAGGGATCTACAGATATAGTGCACTCGAACGCCACACACTAGAGGGATCTACAGATGTAGTGCACTCGAACGCCACACACTATAGGGATCTACAGATGTAGTGCACTCGAACGCCACACACTATAGGGATCTACAGATGTAGTCCACTCGAACGCCACACACTATAGGGATCTACAGATGCAGTGCACTCGAACGCCACACACTATAGGGATCTACAGATGTAGTGCCCTCGAACGCCACACACTATAGGGATCTACAGATGCAGTGCACTCGAACGCCACACACTATAGGGATCTACAGATGCAGTGCACTCGAACGCCACACACTATAGGGATCTACAGATGTAGTGCACTCGAACGCCACACACTATAGGGATCTACAGATGTAGTGCACTCGAACGCCACACACTATAGGGATCTACAGATGTAGTGCACTCGAACGCCACACACTATAGGGATCTACAGATGTAGTGCACTCGAACGCCACACACTATAGGGATCTACAGATGCAGTGCACTCGAACGCCACACACTATAGGGATCTACAGATGTAGTGCACTCGAACGCCACACACTAGAGGGATCTACAGATGCAGTGCACTCGAACGCCACACACTAGAGGGATCTACAGATGTAGTGCACTCGAACGCCACACACTATAGGGATCTACAGATGTAGTGCACCCGAACGCCACACACTATAGGGATCTACAGATGCAGTGCACTCGAACGCCACACACTATAGGGATCTACAGATGTAGTGCACTCGAACGCCACACACTATAGGGATCTACAGATGCAGTGCACTCGAACGCCACACACTATAGGGATCTACAGATGCAGTGCACTCGAACGCCACACACTATAGGGATCTACAGATGTAGTGCACTCGAACGCCACACACTATAGGGATCTACAGATGCAGTGCACTCGAACGCCACACACTATAGGGATCTACAGATGTAGTGCACTCGAACGCCACACACTAGAGGGATCTACAGATGCAGTGCACTCGAACGCCACACACTAGAGGGATCTACAGATGTAGTGCACTCGAACGCCACACACTATAGGGATCTACAGATGTAGTGCACCCGAACGCCACACACTATAGGGATCTACAGATGCAGTGCACTCGAACGCCACACACTAGAGGGATCTACAGATGTAGTGCACTCGAACGCCACACACTATAGGGATCTACAGATGCAGTGCACTCGAACGCCACACACTAGAGGGATCTACAGATGCAGTGCACTCGAACGCCACACACTATAGGGATCTACAGATGTAGTGCACTCGAACGCCACACACTATAGGGATCTACAGATGTAGTGCACTCGAACGCCACACACTATAGGGATCTACAGATGCAGTGCACTCGAACGCCACACACTATAGGGATCTACAGATGTAGTGCCCTCGAACGCCACACACTATAGGGATCTACAGATGTAGTGCACTCGAACGCCACACACTATAGGGATCTACAGATGTAGTGCCCTCGAACGCCACACACTATAGGGATCTACAGATATAGTGCACTCGAACGCCACACACTATAGGGATCTACAGATATAGTGCCCTCGAACGCCACACACTATAGGGATCTACAGATGTAGTGCCCTCGAACGCCACACACTATAGGGATCTACAGATGTAGTGCCCTCGAACGCCACACACTATAGGGATCTACAGATATAGTGCACTCGAACGCCACACACTATAGGGATCTACAGATATAGTGCACTCGAACGCCACACACTAGAGGGATCTACAGATGTAGTGCACTCGAACGCCACACACTATAGGGATCTACAGATGCAGTGCACTCGAACGCCACACACTATAGGGATCTACAGATGCAGTGCACTCGAACGCCACACACTATAGGGATCTACAGATGTAGTGCACTCGAACGCCACACACTATAGGGATCTACAGATGTAGTGCACTCGAACGCCACACACTATAGGGATCTACAGATGTAGTGCACTCGAACGCCACACACTATAGGGATCTACAGATGTAGTGCACTCGAACGCCACACACTAGAGGGATCTACAGATGTAGTGCACTCGAACGCCACACACTATAGGGATCTACAGATGTAGTGCACTCGAACGCCACACACTATAGGGATCTACAGATGTAGTGCACTCGAACGCCACACACTATAGGGAT